GTAAACGTCTCAAGGTCAGTGTCAGTATTGTATGCAGATACTACTGCTAGAATATAGTCGCAAGTCATGAATCTACAGAAAGGAACCTTACTATCGCCTTCAAGTATATTGTAATGAGTCAAGCGATTACTGAGCGCTATATCCCTTTAATGGAATTAGTATGTCAGAAAGTGTTATTGCATATTCTTGTATAATGTTTTGTCAAGGAACTATTAGAATCAAAATAACGGACACTCACTTGTGATTAAAATATGAAAGACAATCACCTAAGACAATAACAGTTCACTAAATTATTTGTATTATAGTAAATGATCAAAGGAAATGTAACGTTATCATTGTATATTCATAAATAGTATATATATATATCATATGTATGCATTGACACATCAACGCGCCATCAGAATACAAATCAAGCAAGCTCATTGCTTGATGCACCTTCCATTTTTATAATATTTTCATTTTGAATTTTTTTCAATCTAAACTATGCCTTAGTAGGTGATGTAGTTCATTAATGTTGATGGATAAAGTTATAGATGAAGACTCTCTTACCTTTCACAGACATCAATCACATGAATGAGATACGGACAAAATGCATTATCTGTTAGACACCATAACATAACATATCGACATTTTATTTGTGGTAAATTATTCTGTCAGCAGCTTTTGGTAACCAATAAGTGGGACAGCAGTTATACATTATATTGAAACGCACAAAGTTTTTGAAGAATAATTCTAATTTTGGAGTTTTTAGCCCACATATATTTTCTTATTTCATTATTCAAATATGCGACTATTTTGATTATAAACATGACGAGTGAATTTATCATGTTGTTATGATGATGACTCGGTCAGCCAGTCTGGGAATTTGCATAAAACAATCAGACGGCCACTTGACATAAGGTTTGGCCAAGCCTCGAAGGGAATATGCGGTCTTCCACATATTCATTGTTACTCTCGGACGAGATGTCACAACGAAGGGTGGAGAAAGTAATTTTCTTAAGTAAACATAATAATGGACGACACTTTTCTGTGTTATTATCGCGGAAAGTCCAAAATAATAGAGGGACAAAGCCAGTTGCCTAAAGGTTTCACCTGGACGTCCGCTTCGTGGCTTTGTTTTACAGGGCTGTGAATCGTCGTCCACGTTCTCCCGTTGAGAGGCTGATCCAACACAGTTGTCAGTCTTTGTAAGTTTAGTATAATCATGACCCGAACCATCTAAAGTAACGAACACCTCTGCCTTTAGGCAGTTTGTGCAATACGTCAACTTAATATGAGGTCATCCAACTGTTGTTGCTGGACCCCAAGGAATAACGTCCACGTGTGCTAATTATTGACTGCGTAAAGGGTCTTCTTGACCCTTTATGTAACCTGATAGTCACAAACCCCTGATATGAACTGTGCCCTGGATTTTTGAATATGTATTATCAATCATCTGTCCACGTCTTCAGGCTCCATCGTCCATCTCCTTTTCCGTACTCTGTACCTTATCAATAGACCCTAATGTGACATGATGGAACACTGGCTGACCAAGCCATTTGTAAATATTGCATCTCATGTAGCACAAAATGACACGAACATATGATTTATACGACTACCATTTAAACTGTCATATACACACAATTCGCTGTGCTTGTTTTCATGTTAACCTTCTCACTTACAGGAACGATTGCTTTTTATACTGTTCAAAGTACAGAGGTTTGTCAAAACTTTGAAGCAAATACAATTTATTTTTCACTGAAGTCAGATAACGGACTTTTGTTGCCTTTATTGATTTACAATTCAAAGTAGCTTGTTTCGCTGTTGTATTTCGTCTTCGAAAGTAGCAAACAATAGCACTCCTAAAGAAGTTGATACATAAATATTTTCAATATGTTTTCATTTCATATGAACTTTTATGGAACGAGTCTTAGAAGTTTCATCTTTTACGAGCCTTGGCGCGAACAAATCTAAATTTCAAGAAGAGTTATAATAAACCATATAACCAAAGGCAACAAAGCTATATCACATAACTCAGATGAATTACATTTTGACAGATTGTGAAGGATAAAACCAAACGGTTGTTGTGTCATTTTCAATTCACGTTGTAACATCGTTCTCCATAATATAATATTATAATTGGTCTCTGGTTGGCACAGCTAATAGTCTGATGTGAGAAACTCGCTTATTTATTCCTTAACAGAAATAGTTTTATGTTGTACACGTTCAGAATATGTTCTATTGCAAAATTTCTGGAATTTGTCTTTTCACAAGTGAGTACCAATACATAATATTGTAAATAGGAACATTATTACATGTAACGAGGATAGAAATGATAGAATTGTTGACGAAGAACCGAGATGAAATGTGCAAACACAGAATATCAGTGATATTAGTAGCCTTCGCTTCCAAATGATCATTCCCATAAGGTAAAAAGATCAAATTGAAGATAGCGTTGAACTTCGCACGCATGTCAACCTTTACACGCCTCTTAAACTTGATTGGTGCTGTCACATTCACATCCCCATGGTACCCAGTGACGTCTAATTACCTAAGGACTGGACAATATCAATAGGAAGGGCTCAATTTGTGGTGCGATTTGTCTCCAGATGCCTCTTCAATTTTTTTTCCATGCTGACCCCCGTCGAAGTAGGAATATACTCTGTTATTTGCACGCTTGAATGTTCTAAATGCAACTGACGGAATAAGTAAGTCCAGCTTTTCTGATTACGTATCAGAGGAGAAATTACCGGAACATTCACACAGAATATATATCTGCTTAATATATCTGTTAATATATGATTATAAGCAAGCTTTTACAATATTACAATCCATAAAATAAATTCCAGTATTTCTTTAAGTTTTACATTTCATAATGTAAAAGCTTACGATCTCATTTCAAGCCTTTAAACTTAAAAAGGGTGTCGTCCCTGTGACATCAACCAATGTATTATAACAAGGTATTGTTTGAGAAGGGAGAAGAGTTTGGGCTAGTTACCGGTAAATAGCTTAGCTGTGTTGATGGCCGGAATCATCAGGCTTCACTGAACAGGGACAACACTTTCCACTTGTACTGTATTATCGGGTAGGATCTGGCTACAAGAGGGATTACAGTCCAACTTCCTCCAGTTAATAGCAGCAGTCTGTGAATAACCAAAAATTCAAAGTTTAGTAGGTCAAAGCTGTTTTCCATAAAAAAGTAGACATAGGGAGTGTTTTATATTTTTGACCGTTTTGTAGGAGGCCCGAGACAAAAGTACGACACACATTGTCCGGATTAAATCAGTCCCTTTTTTAACCTCTTGTAGGTGTTGCTTTCGGTATTAGTTTTCTGGATGTGTTCTCGTACTGTTTCTTGTGTTTACAGTTATACACCTGGCCGTTTAATGTTGTTATATACTAATTGTAATAACGTTACATAAGTTATATCTACTTGACCAATAGCATCGTATTTACATAATTATTGAAACGTTTTTGTCATATCAAAAATATATATTTAAAATAAGAAAACATATACAAACCAAATCAAATGTTATGTGATCTAGAAGTAAACTTACTCCTTATTAGCCCGTCAACTTACCCAACCATCTAATCATCTGGTTATCAACGTATTCTTACACATTTTGTTAGGATAAAAAAATCCAATTTGGAATGGAAACGGTTCTTAACTTTTTTCTTTCCAAAAAATGTATTTAAAAAGGAAAGGTATTAAGAAGAGACATACGTACATTTATGTTTCAATAAAAACGAAATATGTTTCGCAATCTCGTGTCAAATACTTGAACTGCATAAAGTATTCTTGATTATTTTATGATTATGAATGTTATATATAGCAGAGTGAATATATATCTCAACTAATGTGCTCGGAGTAACGGACACGAAGAATGCTGTTTTTTATTTTATAATTCGTATAGTGAAACGGGGAAAATTTGGAACATGAAATTAGACAGTTACTTGTCTTCATTATATACCGTTGTGTCATTCTGTATCACGTCGAATGATATCTTTTAGAGATAGATATTCACTTAGCATCAGTTTTTATACATTTAACAGTTTCTTCGTGACATCAACTCCACATTTTTCAATTTGTTTTTCCGTCCGTATTGTTGTATTAACACTGATTGTTTGTCCATTTAGGGCTGACCAAGAGTGATGGATATGGCATATAGGCAATCTCCAGTCCAGCGACCAATGGTCAGTACTTAAAGGACCTTTTTTGCATGAATTGAAATGAGCGAACGAGGGAGAGGCAACTTAATTTCGTTCATGATTTTGTAATTTATGCCATTGTTAGATGATTTCACTAAAGTGCAGTTATGCCAAAAACACATTTGGTTACTACCTATCGAGCTGCAAATTACTAGGAATGAAAAAGGAAAGAACATACCTGAAAATTATTTGATAATTATTATAAACGATGATAATATTTGTAAATATCATATGTGATTTATAAATTGTTAGTAAGCTAACAAAACAGGAATGAGTATGAGTAGAAAAGCAAAAGGGGTGGGAACATCTCTGACCAGGCTAGTCAGAATTATTGACCGTCCCATTGATCGGCCAGTCCATCAAACGAATATTACCTGCATGACGCCTGCTCAGGTGAAACCCTGTCCTTGGATCGACGTCGTGGTTTAAGTCATTGTTCCGCATTAGCCAATCGGGTGGTTCCCTGGCTGTTCCATTAGGTTGTATAACAGGCGGAGTCGTATACGAGTACCCAGTGTGAAAAGTGTAAACACTGCGAACGTCACATAGACACATCACTCGACAGTGCTCTACGGCTGAAAACTTTATACATTGTTATTTATATGTAATAATTGTCAAAAGTTAGGGAATTTTGACTTGGGTTCTTGAAGAAATACCTGTACCAGTGACCTATCAACAATGTTATCATAGAGCTCTTGTGAAAATGGACATAAATTCATAATACAGTTTGTGATATTTAGATAGTGACAATCTGTCTTGTGAAGTATAATTGTATACTAGTACTTAAAAGACTATACATCAACTGATTTAAGATGAGTGGCAAAGTCTCTGGAATATCAAGTAAGTATAAATGCTTTACTCTGACACAATTTCACAATATATAAACATCATGTCATAGTTTAACTATTCTTATACTGATATTTTCAAATGTATTTCTTTAATTTTATTTTAGAATTGACAGCATATTGCTATTTGAAAAGAAAACCCAACATTTTTCCCCTTTTCCTATTTGTATCTGTCTAAAATTTAGAGAAATCCCAGTTATAAATTTTCTATTTCACTTTAAAGGAATTAAATATCCAACTCTTAAGTTTTATAAAAACCATTCAGTGATAATAAGCTTAATGACTTTAGAGGATAGACGTTCTTAGTGATTTAGATATATACGGTCTGTGATTCAACTTTTAAATTCTCATTCATAAATGTTATATCACAAATACGTGACTGTTAGGAGATATGTTTAAATGCAAACTACTGTAAATTGTTTGTTCATTCTTTAACTGGGAAGTTAGGATTTATTGTGCCTTTAATTCGATAAATCATAAAACTAAATAATTTATGTTAAACAATTAATCATAATTAGCATGCTATCATTGTGTGCTACCATTATATAATTTCTGTTGTCTATTGGTTATGCCTATGTAATGAAAATCTCTATATTTGTTTCTGTTTACTTTATGTAGAAGCGTATTTTTCTACTTGCTGTCGTTGATTTCGATGTTTATCTCATACCAACTGATATTCATGTAATCATTGTTCGAATAACGTTCCATTAAAATTCTACAATATATATTCCTTTATGGCGTAATTTACTCCACATTATATATGTAACATATCAATTAATAGACATTTTGTTAAAATGATACCGCGTTTATCAGTTAGCACAGCATCATAATTTTATCAAAATTAAGATACAATATACCAAACACAACTAATTTCTTATATATGATTTTAGATATTCTGTGATTTTAAGGCCGTTCTATCAATCTGCATTACTCACTATTTCTAAAATATTATTTGAAATATTTTATTTATTTAGAACCACGGAATGTTATAATGTAAACATTTGGATCTGACCCGCTAATGACAGCGATGACACATACATGAAGTTATATTTTAAAACGAAAGGTTAAGAATCTAAAACGTTTAAAATGCCATGAACAGCTTACCAATACCTTAGGGACAGTGTGTTTCCTAACAGTCTTCCTGTTGTTGCCTTGATTTATTTGCGTAAGCTTCGTGTAACTTTTGTCATGATAGGCAAATGCACGATTTGCATGCAAACAGGATCGGACACTACAAAGCTCTGGCTTAGCTTGATTAGGTCTGGGGGACATTTAACCGGCTATACTTCTTAGGCGGTCGCCTCATTCCGGTAAGTCAGGTCTGCTATAAAGATCCAAGCCGGAAAGGGGAGGAAATAAGACTGTTAATTGAGAAAACAAGTTATCCTTAATTACTTAGGAGCAGGTAGATGACAGGTATGTCAAAGGTATGAAGAGGGATAGGTGAGAAAAACAGACAGATAAAAGAACTTTGCAAAAAAGAAGGTTTTGATTGTTAAAAATATTCTGATGAAAACACTACCCAAACTTTTAAAATGATTCGTAGCTAAATAAATAAAATATTTATTTGTATGTTTATCAAAAGAACATATATTGATTAAAAACTAAAACAGCAGAAATTGATATCATATTTGATGAATTAGGTTAGGGAAAAATAAACCCATCAAAACAAAATTCTAAAAACAAGGAAAAGGTTACATTCGTCGTCATCAGACAATAATAAGGTGACGGAGTTAATCTTGTGGTATTGATTGTATATGAGCTGGATTTACGCGCCAGGGAAGCCAGGATACCTGCCGTACAGGTACTTACCTTAGTGTGTGTGTGTCACAGGGGCAGTTACATCAAAGACTCAAAGGAAGCAAACATTGTCAACCAGATGGGCTGAAGCAGTTTGGACATACAAATCGTTTATTATATTAATTTTATAAATTATATCACAGATAGGATAGCCCCTTACTTTGCAATGGAAATTTTTCAGAATAATATTTCTGTCTTGTGTTATGTTTTAATTTCTTATTGTATGTATTTAAGAATTTTATCACTAATGATAAATACTTTTTGTAATTCCAGGTAGGATATTAACAGATATCCCATGTGTAGTATGTCAGGACCATTCCTCCGGAAAACACTACGGAATTTACGCCTGCGATGGGTAGGTATTGCGCTCTTGTTTGTCTATATTGCATAAATCTTTTGAAATAGTTAATGGTTCAAACAAATTAAAATTTTGAAATTGTTTGCCTTTGACGATAATCGTAATATCAGTTAACATATAAATAAATGATTTTGATCGTTGTAGATGTAGTGTATACATAAAGGCGTTGGTTACCTTCATTTAACTCCTACTATTTTGTCATTTCAGATGTGCCGGATTCTTTAAGGTATGTTTTTTTCCATAACAAAGAAAGAACTCGTGACAATAATGACTGAATCTTCAACAACATAACAGTGCATTAGATCTTATATACACATTGTAACATTGAATATCAGATTGGACGCCTGAAGGCGTGACAATTTCAATCTAAAACAGTCCGGTGTTGATTTTCCTAATGATCTACAGTTAATTATTGGAAAAACAATACTTCAAATGATCGTGTGCTATCTTCTAATGAACACAGGCTTTACTGACTAACACTGTCGTTATTTGTTCCGTCCAGATACTTTACAGCGGTCGAAAAGTCTTAAATATTTATCTGTAATAATTGACTTTGTTATATTATACGACTCATTGGATTCGAAATCCAATCTTACTTTCCGTTGTTCTTTTCTCGTTTTACTGTTTCTATAAATTTTAAATCGGATTGAGGTTAGTGTATGCATGTAGTGCCCAAATGGTATCGTCACGACATTTTCTCGTAACATCCAGTTAGCCCGGATGTGGCCACCTGGTGAGTCCCGCAGTCATCGCAGGAAGAGACGACACAATTTAATCTTTTTTTTCTTTTCGGCGTACAAAACGCACACAGCACACTCATCAAATTAATTACCTTTCTTATGGCGTCCATTTTATTTTGGGCACAATTCAGAAATTCCAACAAATACATGTATCTTTGATATATATACAGATGTAGTAATAATGCTCTTTTTATGTTTAGAATGTAATAGTATAAATATATACATATTATTTGTTAGCTTGTTCAATGTACGATTAAAACTCGTCAATTATATGATTATATTCGTTTTGTATTCCCCAATGGTCGGAACACGGCTATCTGCCATAAGAGATCAATGCAACATGATCCAATAGTTTAATATCCAGACATCCTGGAATGGCGATTAACTTTAAACTATTATAATGATACCCGAGTTTTAACACGGATGAAACATCAACGATAACTAATGCCTGTTAAAGCCAATGACAGATCATACATATCCTTCCCTCGTAACTAACGCACTCGACTACCGCGATATGAGTCAAAAAATAAAAACGGTTATGCTCTTTGTCAACTTAACGTACTCGCAGGCAGGTCGCGGATGTTTTTTTTAATACATAACAGCGATGTAGTAGATCGTTCTGTTTCCAACGATGACGTGATTCCGTGACATTTGGTACTCAATCCTATCAATGTCTAAAATCAATTTGAATTTTGAAATTGTGCAATTATTACATAAATGATTATGCGATCAATATGAAACTTGCCGAGATACCTCTAACTGTAAAGTGTCGTCAATTACATCCTGATCTCCTGTAATCTCCGACTTACGACACACTGACTACAAAGACTCGCTAACCACATATTTCTAAGGTCGCTTAACACATCTCAAAATCTTCCGATCGATTCGGACGACACGTGTCAGAGACTAAGCCGTGTGTTTTGAACATAAAGCCGCATATCTTCGTTCAGTTTACCCTACGATTTTCGAAACCCTCTAATACAGTTTAAACTAGTCACATCAAAAAGGACCCGCACTTGACTAACGGAAAAGACCACACAAATATTCATTTTTGACCGGCGTAGCGGATAACAATATTCTTAAACAAACTGTCAACTGTTTGTTTAATTAGCTGTTCATTTCTTACAAGTATGACCTTTTCTGACAATATATGTCAAATGTTCTTGTGATGTCCGGTAAACATAAGTTCCTAACTTAGATCAACATTTCTACTTTTGTTCCTTTATATAAAGTCACGTCTTTTTAAAGTGTTATATTCGTGTTTGACAACGGATATATCTGATAATCTTCATCTCAGTATGACACTATTCATGTGCACATTCGTAATACATTCATATCGGTGACCTTTGAGTACGATCAGTGGTTAGGAAATATTCGGACATGGTAGTGGTGATCATGTGATCGTTGAAATCTTTCTCGAAGCTTTGTACCAAGTACAGCTGGGCAACTGTAAATATTTTTGAACCAATCCATCTTACTGTCAAATTACTCTGTGTAATAAAAGAACATTTATGATACATGTTGGTAGTTTCTTAACAAACATAGATTGTCATAAAACGTTTTCGTTTTGCTTGTTTTTTTCATTTCTTATTTTTGGTATGTTACAGAGATCAATTAGACGCAATAGACAGTACATCTGTAAATCTAGAGGTCAAGGTCGCTGTCCGGTCGATAAGACTCACAGAAACCAGTGTCGTGCATGCAGACTTGGGAAATGTATGGATGCTGGAATGAATAAAGATGGTCAGTATGTTATATTTTCGCTATTTTGCTTTTAGAATGTACATCAGAAAAATACCGAAATATTTGTCGAGCATGTGAAATATAACCGAGGAACCAAAGATATCCTTTATCCTTGTATCATTTTTAAAAATAACATTGTTAAAAAGTCTTCCATCAGATTCATTAACATTATAGATAACAGACTATGACAACATAGATACTTGTATTTTTACAGCTGTACAGCATGAGAGAGGGCCTCGCAATTCCACAATACGCCGCCAGGTAGCTATGTACTTAAAAGAGACAAGCGAATACGGCGGTTATCTTCCCCATTCGACCTTCCGACCCTCATATCTACCGGGTTGTCTTAACGTAGAGCCAGTAGCGGACGGTATCACGACCATCAGTGCCACAGGTCCACCCTCTCCTGTGTCTCCAACTTCATCCGGAATTCTATGTCATCCCACAGCCAAGGTATATTCGTTAAGCTATGGATGTATACGTAGATAGTATGTACAATAAGCTCACTGTATATATCTCATATCTAATCATATGGTCGATATATTGTTTTACATTGCAATTCACTAATATGGATAGTGTCATGAAATTATAACTCACCTTTCATGGATGCAACACTACCACTTTTACTTCATTCAATAATGGATGAAGTGTGCAAGTACTTTGCAAATTAAGTGAATAAAGAGCTTCTCTTTTTTGCTGTTACAATTTCTGACATGAAATTTGGCTTTATTTCAGTACCCACATGAAATCATGCAGGCCTATTCCAGTAACCCTGAGGCTGTTTGTGAAGTCGCAGCAAGACTTTTATTTATGAGTGTAAAATGGACAAAGAATGTTCCCGCATTTTTGGGTCTGCCGTATAGAGACCAGATCTTACTTTTGGAGGAGGGATGGCGAGAGTTGTTTGTCCTCGGGGCTTCACAGTTCCAGATGCCGTTCGAAGCGGGACCATTGCTTAATGCTGCAGGTAGAGGATTCACTTTTTTCCTCATATTCAAAAAGAAATATTTGCATTATACATCATAAGCAAAATTTGAAACATCAATATTTCGTTAAAAATCAACAACAGTGTCTGATATTTAAACAGAATTAAACTTTCATTTCCTAATTTCAAAGAATGAAACAGCAGTCATAGCCTATATGATTTTTTTTCTAGACCTAAATATATTCATTGAATAACGGGTAACTGTCAAACAACAAAAGATACTAAAAATTCTTTTCTTTAATGCAGGAATTAACACAGATGAATCTCCAGCAGAGCAAGTTGTCAACATAATGACAGAGTTAAGAGCATTTCAGGAAATCCTTTCAAAATTCAAATCCTTACAAGTCGATCCAACGGAGTTTGCCTGTCTGAAGGGAATCGTTTTGTTCAAAACAGGTAAAAAATGTGTTCAATATAAAGTGGGTGTTCAAAATAAGAATTGCTCCATATTTAAGTACATAAAGAATTAAAACAGTCCCCAAACATGAAAATTATCTAACGGCATTCATAAAATATTATGAATATATTTATCACAAATACATATGTAGTTCACATGATATAACCTCTATGTAAAATAAGAATGTATAATATTCTCTACTTTTATTACATTTGCTCATTGTTACTAATTCTTTTTAAAACATCAACATTAAGCGAAGTTAAAGATTAGAATTACATAATTTATTTATTCAATTATTTATCTATCAATTTATCTATTGCAGCGTTTCCATCTACGTCATCAGCGGACGTGAAGACATTAAGAGACTTTCACACTGTAGCCGCCCTTCAGGATCAGGCTCAATTGACTCTGAGCAAATACATACAGGTTACCTACCCAACGCAACCATTCCGATTTGGCAAGCTGTTGTTGCTTCTCCCGACCCTGAAAGCCATATCCGGAAGCACTATTGCAGACCTTTTCTTTAGAAAGACAATTGGAACCATCCCTATTGAACGTCTACTGATCGACATGTTCAAATCCTCAGATTTTTAAACACATCATTTTATCATCACTGTCCGTATTTACCATTAGTGCTCATTGTTTGTTTACAAAGATATATAATTGTACATCTGTATTTCTAAAACTGATAATGATTTACAAGAAAAGAAATCGTTCATAAAGTCCCTAGTCAAAGCAATTATCATTCCATTTATCTGAAAAGAACCTCATTCATGCTTGATTCTTGTCATTAGGTATGCGTTATTCTTTCAAAAATGCTCAATGTCATTGAAAAGGTTTCTTCGTCATGTCATTGCAATATCAAACAATATTTCAATATAGATGCAAAGCGACTTAATGTCTCGCAAAACGCCAAGAAGGGAAGATGGGATTGTAATGTTGTAAAATCAGCAAGTCATCATTTAAAATAAGTTACTTTTATGTTAACTATTAATTGATATATGGGTAAAAATAACCCAATGGCGACATAAGAACAAACCATCTTTATCTCTTAAACATGTAAATATGATGTGACGAATTGAAATGTTTAGACCAATATTTCCACATTAATGACAATATGACAAAACGTTGTCTAAACACGCGTTCGTGTTCACAAGCTGCGTTTTTCCTTCATGGGTTTATAACACCTGACTACTATTACAAACTTTAACAAACTTTTTTGGGCACGATCCGTCTTTGTCATGTTTTACATTGGCTTCTATGAAGAGATATCAGCTGTAAATTGAATGTTCTGACTTTAGCCCCGAGCATTCTCCTGATCAAATGACAAATTAGATCTCGGTGTTAACAAGTCAAAACACTATCAAATATCACATACCAAGGTACAGACTAAAAATTAACATTGATCTGACTCAGTCTTCAAGCAATGCGCCAAAGGTGAAAATAATACTTTTAGAGGCCAACCCATTCATCACTCGTAACAGAACTGTACAAATATCATACAAGTTCCAAAGAAGTCCATTTTGGCCCATTGTGTTGAAATATACATCTTGTAATGTGTTAAAAGTCGAGATACATTGTTTATATTGATGGTGGAATCGTATATTTAACGAAAACAAATTTAAATATATATATATATATCAAAGGTTATGATATTATTTCGCACATTAGCACTATATAGCAGATAGATATGTTTGTCTTTGAACTATTAGAAGTTATAGTACTACATAGCTGATAAATGTTCTTTTTTCGATAAGGGGTTATATAGAAGATAATTTTTTTTACAATGAGAGGTTATAGTGCTATATAGCAGATAAATGTTCTTTTTTACAATAAGAGGTGATAGTATGTATTTTATATGTGCAGTGACGTTTTATTATATCATGTTGATTTAGTGCTGTGCTACAGCTATCCATTGTAAGTTGATTAAATGGTAATTAGTTCGCAATTATAAGTGCAATAAATGGACACTCCATGTACATCTGATCACATTTCCCATGCTCAACCCGTTAATTGATGTAAACAAAGAAACAATAAAATGTTGATAACATACAAAGCATGTTGTGTTTTTATTACGTAACACGAATGTTTACATTTATACTTATTGACATTAAAAGACAGCAATTATTATATACTGTATCTTAGATTACAAAGACACAACATTAATTATGCTTACGATTTTCTATTTTGTAAGAGAATTTTGGGGTTGAAGAAAAGTACAACCAATTTTATGGTCTACGGAGAAATCGGAAGATACCCTATTACTATAGATATTAAATTAAGAATGGTTAAATATTGGTACTCACTAATCCTGAATGAGAAAAGATTATCAAGTTGCATGTATAAATTGAAGTATTCACTCAACGAAACAGGCCAAATAGAATTCAAATGGATAAACTGCATCAAAAATATTTTAAACAGTGTTGGATTAGGTCATGTATGGATGTTTCAGAAAACTTGTTTACCACATATCAATTTTTTTAAATCTGAAGTTGCTCAGAGACTGAAGGACCAGTTTGTCCAATCTTGGTTTGACGAAATGGAAAAATCGTCCAGAGGACAAGTATATAGTATTTTCAAAAATGAATTTGGTATTGAAGACTATTTATTACGGTTGAATAAAAAAGATGCAGAATTTATCTGTAAATTCAGAACAGCAAATGTTAAATTACCGGTAGAATTAGGTAGATGGAGAGGGATACAACATCTAGATCGAATATGTCCCATGTGTAATAATGGTATAGGAGATAAGTTTCATTTTTTTATTTTTGTGTAATAATGATGAAGTAAAACAGCTAAGACTGAAGTATATCCCGGGATACTACTGTAAATATCCTAACCGATACAAAATGAAAGGGATGTTCACAGTCTTTAATAAAAAGTTATTGATGAATGTAAGCATGTTTATCCAACGATTGTCATACATTTTATAATGCGACTGCGTTAATTGTTAGCATTGATTGTCCTAGATATTAAAATGTTTGAGCTGCTTACAATGTATGTTTTCGGAAAATCAACAAATATATAACATGTTTATAACTATGGCTGCCTGTCATGTACTAAAAATGTTTCAATATGTATGACCTCTTGTCACACATTGTTGTTGTCTGAGAGAAATAAAAATCTTGAAATCTTGAATCTTGATTTCAGGGATAAGTTCCAGGAACCATCAAAGGTTTTAAGTCAAATGATTACCCTTATATGTTTAGCGGTTCTAACATAATTGTGTTCTGGTGTGGGTTGTACCATAGGAAATCCTTATACAGCTCATTAGGAAGAACAATTCTAGGTAACTAGATAATCTAGCTAAAAGATGTTTCCTGAACTAATTAACGATTTTACACTGCGGTGTACAAAATGTCAAAACTGGAAACTACGGCAGCTAAAGGTGAACCCGAATATGTGTCCACTGGTAGGGTAAAACACTAAAAAGGTAAAATGAAAATAAAGAGATAATTGTTCTATACAGTAGAAAAACACAGGATAAACAAATAGATATACAAATATGCACTCGTAAATAATTATACCAGCTCAAGAACGAAACCAAAATTGGCAAAAGTGTACCTTGTAGCTCAATACGTCAGTGTTACATCAGAATAGATTGTAAACAATAAAAGAGTTAAAACTACAGCATTATTATCAAAATATGACTTTAACATTGAATTCAGATAAAAGTTTTGCGAAATATCTTCAGCAGATTTTAAAATAAATATATAAATGTTATCACGATTGTTAATTAAACATGTAAAACCCTAATATTTACAAGGGCACTACACATTCGGTTATATTCTGATATCGGATAGATACCAGAAAACGTGTACAAAAGAAAGGTATCAAATTAGATAGATAAGTGTACGGAACTTTCTGTTTTGATGTTTTGACTACGACGTAGTGTTTATATATCATATAATAAAACAACAAGTATGTATACAAAATATACAGGATAAAGATTGACGATGATCGCCATTAACTAAAAATAAAATCAGATAATGTGTAGAATATATTCACGCGGATCAGAATAAATGTTTATTCAAATGTCTAAGTCATCATAAGGAAATTCGACAAAGATAATCTGTCAATGTTGGATCGAAAATTAATAACGCAAACTTTTCAAACAGGATGTTTGTTAATTATAGTCTAATGAACGTGATCGATTTCCCGTTTGACGTCCCTAATAGGACCCGCCGTAGGAATGACAGAAATGTGGTAACTTTGTGGTAACTAACCCAAAGTCAACAAAACGTCTCGGGCCACACAGGAGGTTATTGGACACCTCATGTGAGTGACATAGCTTCACAAAAAGATTCTTCAAAACGGACTTTCCAAAACTATATTTGCTCGGCCATTTTATTCAGTACATACACCCTGTAGGCTTTTTGACATCAATTAAAAAGGGTCATATCACAGGTTCAGTTCTCACAAGAATTGATAGCTGTAGAAACATTCTATATACTAAGTTTTGGATGATTATATATAAAATGATGTTAAAATGGCTTTTAAAACAACAGGAAATTATTTAGACCGCTTTAGATAAACATCCCGAGTGAGATGGCGTACATCTAATCAGAAATTTTAGCGTTTATGTACTTTCTATTTTTAAAGAGAAGTTAACAATGCTTTACAAGAAGTAGTGAAAATTTGTAAAGGAAATGGAGTACCCATGTTTAAAAAGAAGTGTAGCGCTCTTGAAAAACAGCAATATCCCTACACCAACGCCTTTGGAGATTTAAGGTAAAGAGGTAGCGGAGAGTCACCGGTAAGTGGATTCAACAACTAATCAACTTCTAATTAAATTAAAGACAGTAACCCGAGTAGTACACTCTCTGGAGCCAGTTCCCTTTTGACTCGTGACAGAATTTCTAAGGATGTGAAAATGTTTCAATTTCCTTAAGTCTGTAACACGTACCAAGCAGAGTAAATAATTACAGACGTGTGAAAATGAACTTCATTTTAAGATGTAAGGAAATCACACACGGAGTCAAGATTTCTGTATAAACGAAGTGTTGATACTTGTATTAAACGTAGACTGTTTATCAGTGTTAACTTAAAGGAGTGGGTTTTTTTTATTTGTATACCTAGGAACTTCCTAGGAACATTTATTTGTATATCTTTAATGGAATGTTGATCGACACAGTTCAAACTGTACTGGCTAAAAATATATAAATGATATACAATTTCTCAGTGACGTTTTCTGTTGCATGTTATACAAGCATTATATGCCGACATCCCAGAAACATATGTATACTATATATATATATTAAATTCAGGTTATATAAGGTAATATTATTTCATTTTATCAAACGATTTGTAACGACTTCACATTAAGTGTTGTTTGGACATAAAACTTAAAACGGCGTGAAAAATAACTCGTAAAAAATTCTAAATAAATGTTAGAATGTCTTGCTCTATATATGTCAGAGATATCGTTTATATCAACTGCCCTCCAGGTAGGACGTAAAAACGGTACTAGTTGCCTCTAACACATGATCGTATGAGGCAACTAAACTTGGGAACTTTCACTAAAGATCATTTTTTTACTCAGTGTCTCACTTGACTCTGCCTCACTTTCAGTCTCCACTTAAGCTTTCGTTTTC